GGAGGAGTAAAAAACGCAGACGTGAAAAGAAATAACAACAATAGCGCCTTCTTGATTCGCTTTGTTGTAAACTTGCATTGGTGTTTAAAAGGGGAAACAGTACAAAGAAATCTCTGAAAACTTAGAAGTGCCACGATCCACGCAGACCAGATAATCAAAATAGCATTGAGGTAACCAAAGAGAGAACAAGTTGCCTGTCCTCCCCACCAGCCACAATTTATGAACGAAGCAATGGGCATTAAACATTGTAAACCAACAGATACAGTATCCGAAGCAGATAGGCAACATATCAGCAGATGAATTTGTCTCGCAGCGTTTGTAGTTGTTGATCGCGGCGGCGCCTTTAGAACAGCAAGCAGTGCAAAGATGTTCACCAAAAACGCAAAGATGAACAACGGGAATATATCCACTTTAAAACACGCGTGTTCTTCAGAACCTGGAGGCGTTGAGTTGTTCATATTCAGTATATTTTTCGAATCAGGTTGCTCCTATGGCTATCTCAAAGTTCTTTTTGTCTCCTTCATTACGTAGATCAGATAATTTATCTAAACGACTGAGCTGCTACGTCAGTCCATATCGCAGCGCCTGCCAATCAGGCTGTGGAACGAAGAAAAAACACTTGTGTGAAAAAGCTCTTCGTTAATCATAGCCGTCGCTGCCCCCTATTTCGCTTTTCAATTACTAGAATCCACCAACACCTTTTACTTACAAAAAATCTAGCAAATTGGTAGTGGAATAATAAGAAGCTATAAGACAGATAAAATCTAAAAGCGCAGCTTTGTGTGCCCTTGTTAACAACCCATCAATAAACTCAAATTTTAAAAAATGTGTTTACGTTAATTTTTGGTATATAACATCTTCGACGTTTTTCGTTATCATATTTGAAAATTTTCAATTATTTTAAGTTTCTTGCTAGCATAAGACTTTTTGCTTGCATATTATAGTAACTGCCATTTTTTTTGTTTGAAAATATTTTCTTTGACTGCTGTGAATAAAGTACCGAGATAACTAACTTCCTTTGTCACTGGATTTTATGTTCTCCCTTAAAGCGATTTGTATAACAATAGCCTGGTTTATCAGTTGAAGATGAAATTCTTCACCCCAGTTTTCACAGCGACTGTACACAGTACCTGACAGCCAGCTGCTACTTTAATTATGCTTTTCTACAAAACTCTTTTGTGAAAAGTTGTCAATAATTTACTTTCTGAAAGACAGGGAAAAAACAAGTAAATGACATCGTGGAAATAATGTATAGAACTCGTCTTTTCATCAGCAAGTTAATTTGTACAAGACGGGAGCTAATGGTGCGACAGATTAGAAAAAAACTGAGCTCTTAGCTGCCTGATTGAACAATTTAGTCGTGACCAATTGGTTTGAGGTCTGACTAAAAAGTATTTTCAGAGAACTGCATGAATATGTATATGCTCGATTGGCACTATCTTTCACTCGATCGAATACCTAGATGGAGATATTTATCAAATTTTACCCGCAAATGAAACTCTTGAGGTCTGCTTGTACCCTATAACGTATATTAACTAAAATGACAAGCCACATGTTCAGAATTTCAAAAAAAAAGAAACTGGACAAATGACGGGGACTTTATTGTGCATGATTTTCTTGGCGATATTTTTTTCCTGAAAAACGTTTCACGGTGAAATGATTGAGACCCTTTCTCTAGACCCTGTTATTCAAACGGTGGATATAGCTATCTATCGGATAAATCATCGACTATCCAGTGAATAACGCAACTGCTTTTCCTAGTATTTATCCACTGTATAGCGAGGTGGATAGCGCGTATCCAGCTTTTGAATAACTGGATACTGGACGATTCTGCGCGTGCAGTGCGCGATTATTTGTAAACAG